AATTACGTTACAGTGAAAAAACAATAAACTAGAATAATTCTATAAACTAGTAGTATTTGTATAGTATATCTTTTCTTAGAAGAAATAGTAATAAACAATAGTTAAATAATATATATATATATATATATATATATATATATCCAAACACTGTAATAAAAGAAAAAAGTACACAAAACCAGCTCATGTGAATAGGAATTATAATTAAAAGACCATTTAAAACATATCTCACCTGACAGGTTCATCCAGTTTCACTTTTGGTATTTCTCTAGGTATAGCTGTAATGAAGCAAATCAAAGTTTATCACTTGTTAAATTATCATGTGTACAGTTTTCGCTTGCTCTACAGAAAATAAACATTTAAGATTTTATGTTGCTCTTTTAATTAAAAGTAATTTTTCTTCTTTTGTTAATGAAATCTTAAACAAATATACAACAGCAAAAACTAAAAAAGGGAAAGAAAAGTCTTAAAACAAATTTTCTTACTATTAGAAAATTTTTGAAATTCTTCTATTCAGGGCTAAATAATAATTTTTGTTTTGTTTTTTAACTTGGTGAATGTTATTAAAATATGGAGATTTCAGATTTTTTTTTGTAAAGTAGAAATAATGTTCATTAAATAACAAAGATATTTTCAAAGGTCAGGTTTTCATCAAACTACTGTTTTTCTATCCACAATATATACTTACACTGTACATTCAGAAATACTGGTTCTTCTCTAAATCCATAATGATTTTCTGCCCTGATGAAATATTCACCACGGTCATCTAGTTTACATCGATTAATGATGAAGAAAAAGTCATTATCCTGATATCTCTTCATGTACTTGACACTCTGTCTTAGTTCTCCAGTGTCTCGGTACCTGTATGCCAGATGATTATATGATCATCAGATTTCAGTTACCCATACCTTAAAATTTTGGTAAGTTTTCTGTACAGGTAAACAACAAAGTTTTTTTTCATACTTGTATGCTAAAATATGGGTATCCAATCATTGTAAGTTAAGTTTTACACACATGTAAAGAGTCAAGTAATTGTAACTGTAAACCAACGACTTAAAAGCTGAGTAAGGTAGGTTTTACATACACACAAAATTTCTAGTCTTTGTGAACCATGGTACCTTCCATAGGGCAGTTGTTAACTTTTTATTTTTGGTGTGTACAAATTCTACCACCATGCTGCTGATCATTTTAATGGTTGTGATTCATAGTGTGAGGTATTATTGATATAACTGTTATTAAAATCTTACTATTAGGGACAAAACAATTAATAGCCTAGTGTATTTCCCATTATGTGTACTTTAAGAGAGAAAAATGTTATGCGTTTCATTTCTGACCACAATAATCATATAAACACGAATGATATAAAGTTAACTAAATTATTAATAATTTTGCTCCACTGCAGTGAATGTCACACTAGAAAGACCATTCTATGGTAAATAAGTTAACTAAGTTGAATGACATCGTATGATGTTAGAGATAGCTTTGGAAGAAGGGATCTTGGATTTGTTAGAAATGTTGTAATATCTTTACCAAAAGTTTCATCCAAACTCCAATAGCAGGGGAGACGAGATCACATTTCTTTTAAGCAAGCTGGTGAATGAGGGAATGTTAAGTTTTTAAATTGTTTGACCACTTCAGTAAGCTTTCCCATAACTTAGCTATTTTGAATTCAGTTTAAACTTCAGAAAAATTCTATTCATAAGATAACTAATAAACAAAATTACTTTCCTTGAGACATTTTATGAATTACAATAATTCACAGTTTTACATGGAATAGTCCATTGGACACCTTATAACTAGTTCCATCTAAGAACTTAAGTGTCTTTCTATATATTATTAGAATATTTTTCTTGTTGCCTGACAGATAAGGAATGAGAAGGAATAATGTTTTGTGTGTGTTTTATGACAAAAAATTTGCAGAAAATCAAATTATTGATATTTAATAATAAAATCATACTAAACTAATAAAATAACATCACAACATTGAAAGGCATACTTGATGCACTAAGTATCATGATTTATTGGACAGGCACACAGAATTGGTATATAAACACTTAACTATCCTACCAAATTCTTACCAAGTAACAGTTGGAGGAGCTACTGCTATGACTCGACAGTAGAATTTAGCAGCTTGACCTTCATAAGCAAAAGTACTCTGAGGGCGAATCACAAATCTCGGAGCTGCTTGTCTGCGATCTGGAGAACAACCAAATTCAATGTTATTGATGTTTTCTTGTATTAAGTTAAAAAAACAATTATTTATCAAATCCTTATAAAACCATTTATATTTCACTATGGTCATAAAATATAAATTCTCAAAGAAATACTGTCTAAAACTGCAAAAATTACAATTTTACAATTTACTAAAACAAACTTGGATAAAATCCTCTAGAATCTTTATACTATTATGAAATCAAGATTCAAACACGCTCAGTCTTAAAACTGGCATTACAACGATTACAATGTTTAGTGTGCACTTAAATTTACATACAAGATAGAAAAAATCAAGAAAAGAAAAGACATAAATAATTGGTATGTCTAAGTTAGTCTAAGTTCAGAACTGAAATATGAAAGTAGACTTTTTAAAACTTCCTTAACTATAATTTCCCAGCATTTTACTTTAAGACATTGCCTCACAAAATTTAATTTTACTATTGTTTCTTATATATCTACATTTAACTAATATTGAAAATGAATGATAGCCCAACACATCTCATATGGTAAAAAATGAATTGGTGGGTGGCACAAATTCATCATCCATATCCTCAACTTTCCTTTTTGAATTCATGCTCTACACTAATTTGGCTATAATAGTATCTTTCATAGAATACTGGATATTGTATCATTCCTCAGGTCATTAAGAAGCAACACATAAATCTGGAAATTTTGATCAAAAGTACTGATATTCTAAAAACAGTCTCAGAATCTATGAAACAACATCAGTGTAGTAAGGCGTTTGGAATGACCTGCTAAGGGTAGTGGACTTAGCTGTAAAGTATGTGTGATGAACTGTTAAGGGTAGTGGCCTAAACTCTAAGTCCACTATCCTTAGCGGGTCATCACATGTATCTCACAGCTTAGATTACTAATCTCAGCAGGTCACCACATACACCTTATAGCTTAGCCCACCACATTTAGTAGCTCATCACATGCATCTTACAGTTTACTTAGGTAATGAAAACCATGAAATTTTGATAAATTACATAAAATGTATGCTAAGTATTTGTTAAACAATTGAAAAAGATTACCACATGTAAAGACAAAAGCAAAAGACTTTATCTGTTAATGAGTTAAGAAAAGCAAAAACAAATTTGGTTGTTGTCTAGAGAATCTTTTTTCTTTGGATTCAGATATTTCTTCTGTACAAATCTGTTTGATACTCTTTGATTTGTGAACATAGTCTCTTCTGGGTTATTTCTAGATGGTGAGGATTACAGAACTTTACAGAAAACACAAGTAAATGAACATTCATCATACAGCCATCTTCTCCTGCTGAAGTGATCAAAAACTGATAATGCAAGCTGGTGAACAAACATCTGCAGTTTCAGTGCAATTCTTGAACACTCCATGAATGATAAACAAATTTTTTCTTACACACACTGCCAAAAGATCTATAGGTATGAGAGTGGTGATATAATCAGTCATTCAGATTTGTGAATGAGCAATCAATATTCACCAACTTCCTTGTTTTGAGACACAATTATTTGTTTACTTTCTTATGGTATACGAATCAAGCATGAAAGTTGAACATATGATCAGCATAATGCAGCTCCAAAGTTGATAATACACTAATGAGCTGTACATATACTGGTGTATACCAACCCACTGTTGGTCAATGTTATTGAAAAATAAAAGGTTGTAACCTCAGGGTGTTGGAATAAAAAAAAACATTTTGTTACAAGCCATGTTTGATTAATTTGATTCACAATTATTTGTAAACAAACTGTCAAGCAGGTTATATTATAAATATGTCATTATGAACATTCAAGTGTTTTCAAAAAGTTGTGTAAATGCATACTGATTTTTCAGGTTCATGCCAATAAATCTTGTAATCCATCATGTACTTTACCTGAATTATAAGTATTGTAATGTAAACTAATTTTAACATATACTTGAAATCTTCCACATACACACTTAGTATTAATTAAACACATACCAAAGAAGAAATCGTGAATACTGTATTTTTCCTCTTGAAGTTTTCTGAGTGAACTGTAATTGGCAATGCGTCCAATTGGGACAAGACAAGAGTCCCAGTAATCACCCTGAGAAACAAACATATATGTTTAATAACAAAAAACATCAGTAAAAGCTGCATTACAGATGAGGTTAAAAAGCTATCTCTGTGGTACAACAAAAAATAAAACCATTAAATTAAGAAAAATTACATAAAGTATATGTTAAGTACTTGTTCAATACATAAACTCACGATGTATCAAAACAAAATTCCTTATTTATAGTTGAGGTATAAAAGCATTATATGAAGCTACTTTACTAACTCCAGATACTTTACTTCTATATTAAATTTACATGATTTTCACCACCCTAATAAGCTAACCTGCATTTAAATAGTTTTATCCTCAGGATGCTACTACAGAGGGATTCTACATTAAAACTGGATCAACATAAACTTCTTGTACCTCTTGCAAGAACTTAAAATTATCTTTAAAAATGTATATTGTTAGTGTATTTTGGAAAAAAGTTAACAAAAAGGCCTGCAAAGGAATGATTTAAAATTCTAATACTTAAAATATCTTTGCTTAACTATACAACTTTTTTATTGGTGGGAAAACCATAAAACTGATCATCTGATGGTCTAACGCTAAATTTATCTTTCTTAAGTCTTAGTATCTATCTCTGTAGTATATTATCTCTGATTCTGAATAGGATTATAGATAACTTACTTTTGCAAACATAGTTTTAAATTATTAAAACTAAAAGCATTATCTGGAATGTTGGAATTCAACAATATATTTGTTTAACAATTACAAGCATCATTCCAAGATTTGCATTACGAGTTTTCATTCATTAGGCTAATACATATGTTACAAACTTACATATTTGGCCCTGATACGATCTCTGAACTTGATGTATCTTCTGGTGGCAATTGGAACTGTTGGTGCCTCTGTGATATCACCCTAGAAACAAAACATTATATATATATATATATATATATAGTCTCTATAATATTCAAAGTGTCCATTTTTTTATTTTAAAGAAACTAAATATTAAAGTAATACAACCCTGTTTTAAACTAGATTTGCTTTAAAATTATAAAAATAATATATATTTTTTTTTAGATATTAAGAGATGCTTCAAATTAAATTATTAAAAAAATAGAATGTTTTGCTGGTTTGAGGAAATTTACTATTTAAAAAAAATGGGAGAGTATGAAATCAGAATATTTTTTTACCTTATGACAGAAAATGGTTTCTTTTTTTATAACCCGTTAAACATTTAGACATACCTTAAGCCAAGGATGGTCCAGACACTCATGTGCAGTTAATCGTTTTCTAAAGAAACAAAAAAAGAAAATTTAGGGCTTAGGACTTATTTTTATAGTGAAACAAAATATAAGGTGGTCTAAAAATTCCTGTCCAAGCTAGATGGCATTTACTATCTAAGTATTATTATATCTCACTCTAAACTCATTCATTCATAAAAAATAAATAAGTTAAAAATAAATGACTTGCACAACAAATTAAGTTTCACATCCCACAGTTATTAAATCTGTATATTTAGAAATGAAAACTAAATTTTCCTAGAAGCAGTTAAACTAACTTCATTATTGGAATACCACCTGTTTTGAATATATTTTCAGATTTTGTTTTGAATATTTTTTCAGACAGTCATTAACTGTTAGTTTGATATATTACACATCCATCACTTTAGCTATTAATATAAATAACAAACTCACTCTTTATTCCTGGTTAGCAGTTTTCGAATAAAGTCCTTAGCAGAGTCAGAGACATTGGCAAAGGCTTCATCATCAAAGTCCCAGTCACATGATTTGACATTCTTCAGTGTATCAATATCATTTTCCCCAGCAAATGGTGAAAGACCACTGAGCCTAATAGACAACAAAAAACTCTTTCAGAGCTCAGTAGTTTTTGAATCTTCACAGCCTTCATGAGATTGTGGTCTCTTGGTTTCTTTAAGTTCATATACATATATATATATCATTGGGGGGTGGATTATTAAATAACACATATCATTTACATGCTTATAATAATATTACAGCAACAAGAAAACATAACAAAGTTTGGTGCTAAAACGTTTACATATTTGTTGTAACAAACAGGCATAAAAGTAGTAAACAGAACTACTAGTAGTTGAAAACAGGATTGTAGAAACTGTTGTTTCAATTAGAAAACTACAATTTACCATTGTTTTATCAATCTACTGAATTAAAATTTGTCTCTCTACAGCCTTGATCATTAAAACTTATTGAATGCTTACAAGACATATGCTAACACTCCAACAGCCCACATGTCTGTATAGAAACCAACAGGCTCTCTCTCTACTATCTCTGGAGCTGCAAATTCTGCTGTGCCAGTAGAAATCTTCACCACCTCATTAGGATCCAGCTTTGTGGCAAGCCCAAAGTCAATCAGCTTAATGTTGCTGCTAGCTTTAGTCTGGCACATAATGTTTTCAGGCTGAAAAATAACATGTTCAGAATACATTAATTACAATAGAAGTATATCGGTATTATTCATAACTGTCTAGTTCCCAATATAATTATTCTCATTTTAAAAAATATTCTGAAGTGTTTAATTTAAAATTCCATTTAGTGTATGACAAAACTTTTACATTTCATGTATTTGTTATCATAAAATTTGAGACTTAAATTTTTATAAGTGGTATATTTCAGAGAATTTATTAGAAGAACCTTTAATGCTGTAAATGAAAAACTATAAGAACTGCTAATTCAATACCTTGACATCAAGATGGATAATGTTCTTTTCGTGCATGTGCTTTATACCCTCACAGATCTGTCTCATGTAGTTGATGACTTCAGCTTCAGACATAGTGTAATCTTCTGATGTGATCCTCTCAAACAGTTCTCCACCAGACATACTGTAAGATTTGGCTTAGATTAGTAAAAAGAGAGGGTCCACTTTATTGGATCATTAATACATTCTATTTTATAGGAGTTTTGCTATAGCCAATTAAAATAAACTTACAGTTAATTACCCTTAGTTTTAAATGACAATAGGGAAAGAAATAGAGAAATTTATTTTAGAAATTTTTTCCTTCTTCTAGATATTTGGTTCAACTATGAAAAGGAATAGTCAGGGAACAGTAATGACACCTATCTGGTTATGAGAAAGTTAAAGTATTTTGGGGTAGCAGTTTCAAATAGGAAGGGATGGTGATGATTAACTACCAATTTATTTTAATCAGCTTTTATTATATGATTGATTCTGAGAAATTCATACCTAAACATGAAACACATACAGAGATACCATGAGTGATTACTTGTTTTCTATATAGTCTACTACAACCAGCAAGCTAATTAAAATAAAAAAATGTATACATACAAAGGGTTGAGCACCTTCTATTGAAAATAATTTGAATATATATAAATTCAGGACACATCTTATGTATCCACAAAATTTCCTTAATGCATAGCATTTTTTTGCTATCTGCACTCCCCAAGATGTTGAACTGTTTAGAAGTCACTGTTTACAAGACTGTGACACAAATGTCATAAATGTGCAGATAGCAAAGACATGCTACGTACTAAGGAAAGTTTGTAGATACACAAGATGTATCCTGAATTAAATGTTAATTAAACAGCTTCACCTTTGCTCCTGAATACATAAATTCTTAAATCACATGACAACCACAGTGCATATAAAGTATCATAACTAGATTTTACCACAGTTTGGCATTTAATATGTAATGTGATGCCATCAAAAATTGAACACTTTTCAAAAAAGGTAAATAACTGTGAAATTTAAGCATATTCTACCTTTGTATTTTCATATAGTATTATTTTGATATTTGTCAGTTATTCTTGTACATGAAGTTTTCACTTAACACATAATCAAAAAAGCCTGTGTTGCAGCTAGTTGTTGCAAGAGATTCTTCAGATTTTGCATAACATAAAGACTTGAGGGCATCAAGATGTTAGCAGCACGTGTGCCACATTTGACAGGGTTCTACTGGCCATGTTTGAGTTGAGACATCCAGCACTCTACACAGTGTGCTACTCAGAGATAAAGCCTCCTAAACAGGATACATTTCAGCAGAAAATCGTTAGTTCTTCCCTACAGAAAAGTCTTGGATATAGCTGGTCCACTTCCAGAATGAGGTTACCTGTACATACATGTTGTCTTTGGCTACTTCACAAAATGGGCCAAGGCTTACCTACTGATTGATATAGCTGTTGGTAAAGTATTGGATAATCCAGTTCAGAGCATCTGAAGAGATCCACATTGGATTAGAGAACTAGCTTCAACAGTAAACTGTTCTTTAAGTTGTGTAAAGTGTTAGATGTATTGAAGACATACTTAGACTTCTCAACCCCAGTCTGGCAGTTTAGTAGAATGGTTAATACAGACTTTCAAACATATGCTTTCCACGTATGCTACTTCCAACCAATCTGACTGGGAACAGCACTTACCATACATCGTAATGGCATATTGTGCAACTCAGAAGAAACCAACAGAACCATATCTTGTGGTCTGAGAAGTTGTGTGGTGGGAATTCTATGGAGCACACTGCATGGTTCTTGCTGGACTCTCTCCATACACCTCATGAGTGTATAAAGCTTCTCCATGTGCAATAAGGAAGTTGTGTTTCCTCTGAGTGTATATTCAGTAGTACCAGCACAAATATTAATTTTGACTTATGATAATTTTAGCTGAAAAGTCTTGGTTTGGCTAAAGTCTGTTGTCTACTATTATTTAATGAAGCCTGACAAGAAAGTTTGATGGCTCATAGATGGTAGCAGATTATAGGATTGCAGATACTGAGTTGTAGCTTTGGAAAGTCACCCCAAAAAGGTTACAAATATTATTTTTGTGACAGGTGGAGGCAGTCTGTTTTAAGCTCTTGGTTTACATGACTAAGCATAATGGTGATATCTGTCTATAAATAAATAATCATATGCGTAATCTTAAACACATGAATGAACATTACATAAAGTCATTCACAAGTACTTTATAAAGACAAATAGATCAATTACACAAAGAACACAACAATTAAACAGCTTGTGAATAGATAAAAAGATTTAATCTGTATATTAAAAGCTTGTGATATGAGGTTAACTATGATGTGTAAAGTATTATTTGAATATACAGTGCGCTTGTTATTTTCATAAATACTTGTAAGAATGATTCAATTTCAATATTGAAATATTCAGAAGGTAGTGAATTTTCATGGAAAGATAAGGGCAACAAAGAAACTCCTCCTACGTCTTAGAAAAAAGTGGTGGGTAAAATTATCAACAGTAAATGAAATTCACAGAGAGTAGCTTGGATATCATATCAAAAGAAAACATTGTGTACCCAATATTTTATTTGGTTGTGATAGAATATTTTTAATCATGCAGATAGAAATATTCTATAAGCACATAGTGTTTAAATATTTTCTTAACTTTGTTTTCATGCAAGGGGCAATTAAAGATACAAGAAAATGCAGGCTTAAGTGTACTGCCTCAGATGGAACATAACACTTTTATGGTGAAACTTTGTAATTCACGCCTAGCTAGTAATAAACTTGTATCTAGAAGAAAGTTGCAAGGGAGAGATAAAGTAAACATTGATGGATCTTAATGGTCAGAGGTACAGGTTAGTATCTGCTAACCCAAGTCAGGTCATGTGTAGGAACCAGTTTTGCAGTCCTAACCTCACTCCTTTCCTGCTGGACCCAAACTTTGTTTAAGTAACAACCAGATGTAGAGGAAATGCGTCTGAGTAAAAGGGTAAGCTGTGTTGACCACCTCACAGGTGTTAGGGAACCATCGGATACAGACAATATAGTGTGCGAGAATATGTGAAGCCTGTAGAAATGTCATCTGACCAAGGTAATTGCTTTAATATTTTGTCTGTAGAGATTTGTCTGGGAATTTCTAAAGATTTTACTGAATAAGACTGAGTGAAAGGTGATTTTCATGCACAAAATGAAAATACTTCTTTTCATCTTACACTTTTTATATCTCATTTCTGTAACCTCTAGAACCTCCTAAATGAACATCAAGTTTTCAGTTTTTTTTATACTTTATCTTTTATTTTCTCTACTCTAAAATTAATTGTAGAAAAATCAATGTACAGTGAAAAGAAAAGTTGAAAACTATGAAATAAAATAAAAGTTTTTGTACTAGAATGACAGCAGGTTGTTACAGACAATTACAATTATTTGTCCTAATAGCTTTAGCTTCTAATCTTTACACATCTTCTTTTATTTAATTTTATTGTTTTATTGTTCTTCCACCTCTCAGTACTGTGCAAACCAAGAAATCATCCAGCCAGAAGAGCAGAGAGCTTAGGGTAAACAAATTATCAAGTTATGTCATGCTACACTAAATTGAGTGTGTTTTTGAAGAAACGAAAATTTTCGTATATATATTTTTTTTCCATTTAAGTTTTCTTATCTAATGTAATGTAAACAGTTACTTCTGTTAAACATATATATATATAACAATAAATATATATATATATATATATAAAAACAAGAAATTTAACACTTTACTTCAAGGCCAAGTCACGAGATGCACTGCCTATAGTTTCCTATAAAATCAAGCTGTTGAAATAGATGCTGGTAAACCATAATTCTCATACATTAGATAGATTATGGAATTCCTGCAGGGAGGATGTGTGTGCTTTGGACATGAGAGTTTTATGGCTAAGCCTTTTGCAATCGAAATTATACTATATGGCTATTGTCAAGATGCATGGTTGTCAAATAGAACATAACTGGATGTAGCATTCAAGGACTGTAACAATACGGTTGAGGCTCAAAAATCATTTTAATATAACATAATAAGCTTCTTCACAAGACCTCCAAGTACTGTGACCGATTCTCGAGACACAATATCATACTTATAACTCAAAGATATGTATGACATACTATAATGTGTAAACTTGTGAATACAAAAAATGATATACATCTTGAACATACTGATGGTTTACTTTACTATACCTCATACAATTATTAACATAAAGACATGGTACTCACAACTCATAGATAAGAACCATCTCATCTTCATCCTCAAAAGCATCATGAAGCCTGATAAGTTTAGGATGGTGAAGTTGATTCATTATATCAATCTCCTTTTTCACTAGTGTCTTCTCAATAGGGTGAGAAACAGGTATGAATTTGGCAGCAAAAATGTTGCCAGTTTTCTTTTCTCGACACCGGTGAACAACACCAAAGGCTCCACTGGTTAAAGAACAAATGTTTGTCACTTGTTAACTACAAGTCTAATCAACATACCAAATATATTTTTGAACCATTGAATACAAAAGAGTGTAGATAAAATTGTAGCATAGTTTGGTTCCAAAGATCCTTATTTGTCTCTCAAAACAGTTTGCTTACTATTAATTGTTAAGAGCCATTTTTGCTTTAAAAATTGTTGTATAATAATAGTAATAACAATATAATCTTTCATGCAAATTTATTTGAAAAAAATAAAAATAAATAGTTTATAATGTAAGATTTTTATCAGCATTGTTTGTTTGTTTGTTTTTGAATTTCGAGAGCTATCTGCACTAGCCATCCCTAATTTAGCAGTGTAAGACTAGAGGAAAGGCAGCTAGTCATTACCACCCACCGCCAACTCTTGGGCTACTCTTTTACCAATGAATAGTGGGGTTTACTGTCACATTATAATGCCCCCACGGCTGAAAGGGCGAGCATGTTTCGTGGGACGGGGATTCAAACCCACAACCCTCAGATTGCGAGTCAAGCACACTAACCACCTAGCCATGCCGGGCCTTTTTATCAGCATATTCAACAAGAATGAAACATTTATTCCTACAAGTATCTTAAAATGACACACTGATTCCATGAATATATAAAAATAAGGTTTTATTACAAACCAATAAAGCACATAACATGGTGAAAAAATATGCAAATTATTTGCTCACTTAATGTCTTTTGCTTAGGTAATTGTAATCTTTTCAACATTTACATTAAGCATTGTTTAACAAAATTTAGTTTTTCTATGAAGCTACCCAAAACAGCAAAATATTCTACATACACTCCAATCTCTTCCAAGATATCGTAGTAATCATATACACTCGAGGTTTTCACATCTACTGGTTGGGGAATGTACTTTTCAAAAATATCAAAAACTAGAAAACAAAGAAAAATATCTTTCAACAATCATGAGATAATCTAGTTACTGTAGTGATTCTTACTTAACACTAATTAATTTGAAGTTATTAAAGCATTTTATAACATATCAGTGTATTCAGCAATTATATAAGCCACAAATTAACAGTAACAAAATATATTTTAGAACAATTAAGCATAAAACTTGAAAGTTAAAGTAATAGAAGAATAGGGTAAACTTGTGTAATAAAGTACATGCATTTAGGACATTAGACATATATCTATTATCTTTCAATTTGTTTGTGATGTTGAATTTTATAACTTTTTGAAATTTAAATCTATGTAGTATTTATGAGAATTTTATTTTACTGAATGTAGAGAACATAAAATGTTAAAACCAGTAACTTACCGAACTGATCATAGTTGAAGATTTTCCCTTCTGCCTTTCCTCGGACTTTTCTACCAGAAGCATCAACTGCAAAATGACAAATCAGAACATTGAATTTGTGAAACAGTCTATTTACTTATTATATTTTTGAAGAAGCATATTTACAACAGTGGATCTAAGCTGTAGTTACTATACAAACACTTAAAAAATATTCAATTCATTTCATCTAGTGCTTTATGAGACTTTCTCTTTTCGTTATTAATGTTCTGGATTATGTTATATTGTATGCATGCCTACACAACACATTTAAACAAAATATGACACATGAAACCATATTTTTAAAAAAAAAGAGGAATATTATCAGTAGTTAAATGCTAATTTCCTATTGTTGTTTAAAGTAAACAGGCATTTCTTAAATTGGAGTCAACTAACAAAATATTAATATGTATATTTAGATATATAATATTGAAAATTAATATTCATCTGATATCAGGTTTTATCCAAAATTTTAAGCTGGTACTTACCCATATAGTTTTTCTTCTTGGCCTTGTCTTTTGAAGAAACTGAAACAACAAGTAGAGGTTACATGTATTATATTATTATATGTGCCTCCAGATAAGTAAAAAAGTCAAAAGTGAATTAACAGTTTCACTTCAGTAACAGGGGTTATTAAAATTCATTCAGATTTTAATGCAAGCTGAGTAAAGGTTATTCTAAATAAAATAACCTAAAAACAGCTATACATTTTAACAAGAAATCACAACAATGCACCTAAAGGACACGTGAATTTACTATTTATTTTAATAAAAGATTTCTAAAAATATTAATATGTTTGTGGTTGCAATATTCAGATACACTAAGGTCTATATTACAAAATGACAGCTATTTTAATAAAAAAACATTTTGGGAATTTATACAGTTAAAGAGTCACCAATAAATGTGTCAAAAAATATATCTTTGCTTGCTACAAGTAATTTATATAATATAAATGTTAATATTTAGAAAAACAGTGTAGAATTTACTAACTTTTCGTTGTAATCAGATCAGTTGGTTGACTTGGCTCACTACGTCCAAAAACATTCTCAGCATAAACTCTGAATTCATACTCTTTCTCTGGATTAAGCCCTGTGATTGTAAAATTGCAGAACCTAACAAGAAAACATAAAACAGAAACAGTGAATCCATTTCTTCCTTTGAATTAATTCTGTACAGTAGTAGAGCTTTAGGTATTGTTATGAACATTATCCACACAAGTCTGAATTTAAATTCTTCCAAAAAAAATTACCACCTAAGGAGACACACAAAAATTACAATGATACAAAAAAAACATAAGTAAGAATATTAAATTTTATATAATTGGCATAGGAAGGGGGAAAAAATATTACAGGTTGAGGAGTGACATCGACAAATTTTGATGTTTTAATGCCAGCTTTACTTTTGTAATTGTCTAATTTTCACAAATTCTCAATTGTGTTTCACCCTAAGATTATTTAATTATCACAAACGTCTTCACTGGTGATAACAAAGATACACTTCTTTAAAACACATCATGCAATGCTTCACGAATGCTCAAATTTCTCAGGAATATGTTCTTTTATATGAGTCAACAGCTACTAGTGGTAAAGATATATTCCTCAACACAAGCAGGCAATGTAAATTTGGAGATAACAAATGATTTTTTTTATTCTTAGAGAACACACCTTTAAAAGGAAAGACATATTTTAGTTTTTGGAAAAAATTTAAATATACATCAAATTTTCATCTGTGGATAAACTCTGCCCAGATTAAAACCATTTTTTTTCTTATATACTGTGACTGTTATCATAAATATAGTGTTACGACAGTGGAAGTCATGTGACGCTGGCAACACATCATGAGATTCTCAAAGGATCTTGGCTTTTCCTGGCAACTCTTGACTGTTCTAGGAGCCCTCTTTTTTTTGTATATAAGCCCGGCATATAAAGCGGAGAGACATTTGCAGATAGACAGATATAGAGACAGATAATTGAATCAAGTAAGCTGTAGTGACCGTAAGTAAAGTGCGTGAATCGTTGTGAATTATAGCATGTGTTTAAGTCCAAGTGACTGTGGAAATTCTGTGTATTGCAAAGTTGTATTGAGAAAAAATAAACTAGTTTTATTTAAGGAAAGACTTATATTGCTGAAGTTCCTCGGGAAGAATTTTTTAGGAAAATTAACAAACGACCAGAGACGTAACAATAGTAATACTATTCATTAGCACTGGTTTCTTGGCCACATCAGACATTTAAAATTTATGACTGTGTAATCAATATTTCCAAAATTTTTTAAAGCAAACTATTTCATAATGCAACATATAATAACAATCCTATAAGCTTGATTAATAAGCATTACTTATTTAAAAGGTGGATTGAGAAGAAATGTAATAATGTGTTATCACAATGCATAATTAAGCAACAACACAACAAATGAAACCAGCTTTGCTCATACAGCAGGAACACTCATTTACAAACAAACCTTAATTTTATATAAACTGGAAGTTTTGTGGAAAAACAACAACATTATTTATTAGAGTTCTTAAAATGATACAGTGTTAATTGCATTTGTCTCTTCTGAAGTTCTTATATGACATTTGTTGGTTAGTTAGCATTTATTTGTGCAAAGCAACGAAGCATAATTACACCAAACAACCAGTAGTAAACCAGATAATAAAGTAATAAAAATAAAAGAAAACAGGGTAAAAAGTAAAACATGAAAACAAATCAAAAGTCAAACAATGACCATAAATGAAGTTAAAAATTAAACAGAATTAAAAATGAAATTTGAAAGAATGCCCCGTTTCTTCTCATACTTATGAGAATTTTGACACAGTCAGAACTCACATTAGTGGTTTCACTTTGCCTTATTTTTGTTACTGTAATTCAATAAAAAAATCTTACCATATATCTAAAGAAGAATATAAAGGCCTTACTGAACTTGAAAAATTTAATAAATTGATTACTACAAAAATTATTCAAGGAAATTAGATAGCAATTTTAAATAATAAAGGTTATATTAATAAGGTTAATTATATATTAAATTATAATTTGTGAAATTAAATATAGTAATAACACTAACAAAAAAAATTGCAAAGACATTTACTACAGTTGAAAAAGATGAAATTATAAATGAGTGAATGTACAAAGAATAATGTACAGTTTGCCTAAAATTCAGGAACTAGTATTCATGTAAGGTCAAACAGTCTCAAATATTGACAATTAACAATCATAAATTATCGGGTTTTCAAGTAAATTTTCTTCAGGAATATAAAAACTAATGAATTTACTGTCAAAAAGCTTAGAGTTTCAAACTCTGTCCAGACTGTGTATCTACAACCAGCTTTGACTGAAATACTTTATTTACACTGCCCCACTGTAAGAAACTATTGACTTGTTCAGATTTTTTTTTTTTTCATCTTCAGCTAAGGAATCACATAACAAAACAATTTATGATAAAGTTGACAGAGTCAGTGTGTGATATAAGCTTACACCTGCTACAGGACTAATCTATTTTAAAGTTTTAATGAGATACGATGGTTAAAACAATGTACAGGGTGTCCCAGAAGTGTGAATCCATAGAAAAAATAGACATTATATTCTTAAAGTTAAACAAAGACATTTCTAATATCTATTGTACATATTTCAAGAAAGAAAATACCCTGATGTCACAGTATATCAAGAATTGATATGTGTATGGCTGTTAATGGCATGTAATTTGAATAATAAATAAATAAAGAATAAATTGTGTGATTATCCCTATGGGTTCAGACTTCTGGGATAACCTGTACTATTGAATTGAAGCCATTTTACTTTCAAAAATAGACAGGTAACACATTTAATTTTTATCAGTCACAAAGTCATTTAGGTGGATATTCAGAAGATTTGAATAATAAGCAATCAAATATATAAATTGCACTTGAGAGTAAAGAGGAATCTTGCTTGCCATTTTTAGATACTTGGATATCAATAAAACGTGCCCTGATATTAGGTTAAAGGCCATGAGGGCATTAACTATGGCAGAAGTAGCATGGTTAATATATTATCACATATTGTTTTTTCTACTTTCACTCACAAATTCTTAGAATTATTAATGTGGTCTTCTTCTGTTGATGTTGTGTTTGTTTGACCTGCTTCAGCATCAAGAAGATTAAAATACTAATGATAAATAATCAGTGTTAAAAACAATATAAATAAATAACATCGTTTTATTACTCCTTACTATAATTCTGATTTGTAAGGGACTTAAATAAAATTACAGTAATTACAATTCATTTACACTGTTACATATCTTCTTGTTTGATAAGTTCCGGTAAAATTCTTTCCGAGGGAATTCAGCAATACAAGTCCTTTCTTGATTAAACCAGTTTATTCTTCCTCGATACAAACTTTAGCACACAGTAATTTCACAATCAATACATTTCTCGTCACTTTAAACTTAACTACTTTTATAATATACGCTATAAATCACAGCGATTCACAATCTCAATAACTTTCCATGACTACTGTTAGTTTTACCCATACATTCCATTGCCACTGGCTTTTACTCGCCAGGCTTATATACTATAGAAGAGGGTTCATCAAAATTCGAGGAGTTCCCTGATAATTCGAGAAACTCATTCACGCATGCGCTAGCAGCGTCACCTGACTTCCGCTGTCATAACACCACCATAACAGTTGTTGTTCATGAAATTGAAGATATAAGTAGCACCTCAACCACTACGATATCTGTTGTATGCAAGCCAGCCTCCTGAGCCCTAGTATTGGGTGAAAGGTCTCGTCGGCACTGGATATAGCAGATATAGTGTGGTGTCATATTACTGCATATTATTTTTTGCTTTAACTTATAAGTTCTTAGAATGTATAATCATAATGCAACATCCAATAAGTACAATTAATAAGAGATGTGACAAAAGTCAGTTTAAATGCTTTAGAAACAAAAACATTAAAATGAGCACAAAGTCAGTTTATAGTATGCATACAATTATCAAAGAGCTTATATTAACAATTTCCAAAATGTAATGAGTTTGATAATAATTTCCTTGATAAGTTTTAATTGACCTACCAAAGAAACCAATAATAATGGTATTACCATACTTAGGACAACAGTTACAATGCTTAAAAAATAAGTCTGTTTTAATCCTGGGCTGAGTTTATCCACAGACAGGAATTTGATGTACAGGGTGTTCACAAATTGTTGAACCATTTTTTGCTTGTATAGAATAAGAAAAATATGAGATAAATAGTTTCAAGTTAGAGCATGTGGGAGACTGATGTCTGAAGTTTTCTCCCACTAGTTTAGATGAGGATATGTGAATTACGTTGTCTATAATATGAAAGTATATACAGAATATAGCAATGTTGTGTGCCTGAATAACTGATTACTCTGAAGATATTGGCATGTATGTAGGATAAAATCGATGATTGCCTGGACATCCTTTGAGTCACAAATGGTGTACATATTGAGTTGTGTTAATGATGACATTGGACACAGACAAACCTGAGGTGTTATCTTCCATTATACCACAAATAATAGTTGTTTATCTCACACAATTCTCATTCTATTCTATTCAAGTAATGATGTAGTTCAATAACTTATGGATACCCTGTATATTTAGGCCTATTATAAGAATATAAAATTTTTTTTGCATGTTAAGAATTTGATACCTTAAAAAAAAATGTTTATTCACCTACTTTGCATGTTCTGTTTGTGAATGATTATATGGGCTCTACCAATAGATGTCTGTTGACATGCAGTTTGAGAATTCATGTATTGTATGACAAGATTTAACAAAGTGTAATATTTTTATCACTAATGAAAACTTTGTGATTGTTAGTCGTAAGCTGAGGTTGAAGAGAAAGTGAGAATTTGTGAAAATCTGACAATTGTTATACTGAAACCAACATTAATCCCAAGGCATTTAGATACTATAGGCAGTATCAAAATACTGTTCCCAGCAAAACCTCTGCACTGTTACTATCAGTAAACATGTACAAACACAAACACACATACATATATACATATATATATATATATATATATATAACATTGTTGATCAAAATGTTGTAATTTCTACTAAACTTCTATCTTTGTAAGCCTATCTGTGTCTTATTTGAAACTGTTTAAATTTAGAAAAACTTGATTGGCCTTGTTTTCTTCTTTACAATCAAGTTCCTTGAGCTCAGTAGAAGCTTTTTTTATATTTCAATGAATTACAGTGTCTACATCTATGAACACAATTTCCAGATCAATAAGGCAAGCACTAGATAGTCAGTTCAATGGAAAGTAAAATGGAAATAAAAACGTTTGTTGATTCTGTCACTCTAGACCTACTTCACTTATCCACTAAAGATGGCTCTGGTTAAATGATATAAATTTGGCAATAACACTTCTCCTCAAAGTTTAAGATTGTTTTATTCCTAAAACTAAATAAAAAATCAATATTCAAAATATTATTAATATGAGAGGGGCTAAAAATAAAGGAACATAAAGCAAAAACAAACCAATTAAGGAGTTAAAGAGTGAGAAAGTAAGAAAAGCTTTTCTCATACTAAATCAAAAAAAACTATGGACAGTGATTATGATTCAAAACCAAAAAATTTAAAATAAATTTGGGCTACAATAAAGTGAAAGCTGTCAGTTTTTGTATTTTGGACTAATGCTAAAATAAAGTACCATTCCAAAACAATTTCAAGAAAACAACTGTACTGACAATAAAGATACAAACCTGGAATGGCCACAGCGGATCCAACTTGTCATTGGAGCCTCACGTTTTTCCACAAGATAGTTAGTTACATGACTTCCACCATCCCAAGATGGTGGCTTCCAGGTTAGTACTACTGATTCTGCAAAAATACCTTCGATTTTGGGATAGCGTGGAGGGTCTGGTTTATCTGTATGAATAAGAGAAAATTGTTGATGAAGTATAAAAAGTAGATACAGAAATAAACAGATATTAGCAATAGTTTTATGTATGAGCTTCAGGTATCTTTGTTTTCTGGACAGAAATGGACAGAACTGATTCCTAGTGTTAATAGCAACACATTTCTTATATTGCATCACTAACTAACATAAAAAATGTAGAATAAGCTCTAAGTTACAACAGAGTAAAATATATTTAAAGTATCATACCACTTATCTGGATTTTGATAATAGCAGAGTCTACTCCGAGTTCATTCTCTGCTACAATACGATAAGGACCATTGTCCATATTGGAGGCATCATGAATGGTTAGGATAGCATGACGGTCATAGACTTTGATTTCGTAATGAGCTCCACTTTCTATGAGTTCTCCTTCACGCATCCACTTGACTTTGGGCTTTGGGTATCCTGTGAAAGGAATCTTCAACACCACATTCTCTCCTCTCTCAAAGCAGGCAAGTTCCCTGAAACGTGGTGGTACACTAATATGTGGGGCAGCTGAAGTAAAGATGAAAAGGCACCAGATTACAAATAAATTCACGATGCTAGAAAAACACGCAGGTTCAAGAAGTCTTGATAGAAATGAATAAAAACCCTATAATTCGAGCACTTTCGAAAGGTGGACCTTTCTTCTTCAGTTTGCCCCTGAAGAAGAAAGATCCACCTTTCGAAAGTGCTCGGGTTATAAGATTATAAATAGAGATGTTCTTGAAGGTAATGCTTTAACACACGGACAAATGAAAATATAACATATAAGATTATGAAGATAACTAATTTAAAAAAAACTTAAACTTGAAAAAAGTTTGTCATCATCATTACTGTTTGGCTTGTAAGAATACTTCTGAGAAAATATATTTAATTATGTTTAGAATATTTCTGAACAGTTTTTAAAGAAAGCTTTAAAAAATCAATTTAAAACCAACTTACTACAGACATTCTCTATAAAGTTGTGTCTTTTAAAGACACTATAAAAAAAAATTATTAGTCCAGAATTTTAAAATTAGCAAAATAAGTATTTCAAAGACAGTGTTATTAAAATTAAGTAAAAGTAAATTATTGCATTACTCATCTATTTAACATTCCATGTTCAGATATTTAAAGTCAATGAATTCCACTCTTACTTTTGATTAATAATTCAGCACGTGAAGTGCGAATGCCTCCTTTATTAGAGGCATGGCAGGTATATTCATCAGCATCTTCTCCAAAGACTTCTGAGATTATCATAGTGTAAGTGTCCTCCTCCCGATGAAGAGAATATTTTCCACCATCAAAGATTTCTCGCATACCTTTGTACCTGTATTGGGGGGAACAAAAAGTATTTAGAAGAACATTTCTCAGGAATGTTCATAAATGAAATCAAAACAAGTTACTCACAAATTTATAGAATATTATATTTAAAAGTTGGAAGATAAAAACTACATTTCAAAGTACATTGTCCCAGTCTATATTCATAACACAACACTAACTATAAGCTCTTTTAATTGAATATCCTAAATATCCAATGTTTACATAAAATTTAATGTTCACAAACAAAAAAACAACAACTACTACTATAAACATGACAGTTTAAACAATTTTTACAATTTTCAAGTTATTTGATATTAGTGTTTTTTTTTTATTTATAACTTACCAGGTAACTCGAGGTCTGGGGTTTCCAGTTATTTTACATACAAACTCTGCATTTTTGTTCTCCACAGCAATAACTGTCTTCAGAGGAACCAGAAATTCTGGTGGGGTTGGAGCTGGAAACAATTACACAATACGTGTAAATGACTTTTTACAGTCTGGCATGTAGCATTTTATGTATCACAGTCTAAAACTGATAAATTAGTGACAAGCTATACATGTACTTATGTAAGTAAAAGGCAGTGAAAGTACTAACAGTTTATATGATCTGTTTAATTTCTTGTCGTTAAGCACAAAGCTACACAATGGGCTATCTGTGCTGTGCCCACCATGGGTATCTAAACCTGGTTTCTAGTGTTATAAGTCTGTAGACATAACGCTGGGCCACTGGGGACCATTATATGATCTGATTCTTATCCCATTATATTATAAATTTAAGTATTTTATAAAAAACAGTAGAATGTTCATTGATATCTGATAGTTATTTTTGATATAAGTGAGTTGTTTTTTTTACACATTTACATGAAGATCAGAACAATTCTCACACATATATCAAGTTAAAATTAAAACTTTGTGGGTAGTAATTTGTTTCATGGTTAACCATTTGGCTGAAATAGAAAGCTTGGGTTATAAATTACCATTAGGGTCTTTGATACGAACAGAAGTTGAATTGGAGGAAGGTGCACTGATTCCTGCTTCATTTGCAGCAAACACTCTGAACTCATATTGTCTGTCTTCTATAAGGTTGGTGATGTTAATCTGGGTGGGTATACAAATATACTGGTTAACTCGCTGCCACGTCTGAGTCCCACATTCTCTCTTATCAATCCAGTACCCAAAGATACGAGCACCTCCATCTGATGCAGGCTTATCCCAAGACAAGTTCACAAAGTCTCCACCTACTTCTATAACATTTGGAACACCTGGTGGTGAGGGAGGATCTGTAACAACAAATAATTAGTGTTTTAACAATAAGTTTTTCTTTGCTCACAGATAACTCAGAACACTGAAAGATTTCCAGTACTCGTTATAAATAATATAATGTATTTCAGTAATTGACATGAACCTTTATTTTCCACATTACAACTCAAATAGCTGCAAATATCAGGATGAACAATGCATACATTTTGTTGACTTATGTAAGCTAATATTCTTCACATTACAAACTAGTCACATGCACGCTGCACCAAGTTAAGAAATATTAAAAATTTTCATAGCAACAAACCCCAGTTGACAGTAACATAGCATCCATCAACTACTTCTTCATATCAAAACTTCCAATGCTATTCTCCTCAGCTGGTCATTCTACTAGCTTTAAATAATGTGAGATAATCTTCATCAAATTACACAGCTGCAGATCTCAGGTGGTCATAGGATGAACTACACTACCTCTTATGAGCTAACCATAAAGAATATCAGAGAGCTAAATCTAGCTGAAAAGTTTCTAATGTTCTTTCACACAGATAAATGTGTAGACAGAGAACTACACAAGCAATTCTATATTAATGTGTCAAGAAACAATAAGAATTAATTTAAACATCTGATACTCAGAAACATCTTGTTTGATCCTAATAAAAAAAATAGTATTTCAATATGGCTCCCATACCTTAAGCAGACTATTCTCAGACCTTTCCTTGACCATTTGACCTATGCTTGCAATATATCACTGAACTACAATAATATGTGAAATTGCAAAACATTATTCATGTATTGTTTTGTAAAGACAAAATAGGTTGTATGAGTCAAAGTTTGCTTACAAGTTTTCAATATAATTGGTCACACCCTTTTCAAATTATTGAACTTCATCAGAACATACACATCAGAGGCAGTTTATCTTATTTTTTTAAAGCATGTACCAATCTTATTTTTTGATTTGATTTTCCATCAGAAAATGTTATAACTGTATAAATAACACTACAGGTTTTTAAATTTTTGATTATTATGTTTTGACTTCTAATACACAGAAGGAACATGTCTGCTATTATAAAGTTGGATATTCTTCAAAATGGAAGATTCTCATGTGTCAAATAATTATTGAAACAATAACTTCTTATGTGCACACATGCACAAAAAATGGACAAAGTATTTGGTTGCTAACTGTACGTTGCAATAAACTCATATCTTGATATATATAAAACAATATCACATGTTAACAAACTCATCCACTGATTCAGAGCACACTGTATTACTTTTTCATATGCTTTGAAACTGTGTATCAAGTTCATCTATGTCAAAAGTATTGAAATCTTTGAATTATCATTAAATTTAAGTTGTAAATTCCAATTACACATACAGGATACTTCATGCACAGAATCATACCTGCTGATAAGACATCTGCAACGCTTTGCACTATAATCCTGTACTATCATGATATACACCACAAGCACACATACAAATGTTACTGCACACAATCATGTTTACCACTGACAGTAATACTGCATTACAGTATACACCAATCAAGTGTCAAGTTTTTCATTTTGTTGTTATATAATGTTGCTTAGTATATTAATTCAAAACTACTAAATAGAGCTTTTATTCAACATACTCACATTATTTGTATTTTAAAATCTTTAAACTTAGACACAATGATAAACACTAACACATTGCCTGTAATCAACTACACTAGCACTATACAATCTCCATAATAATTAATATCTGCACCCCAAGAGCATTCCATGGTCTCAAAGTCAGTAGTATCAAATCAAAATCAAAAGTATACACCCAATTCTGTCAAGATATGCATATTCATCTTTATCGTCAGTCTTTGTTCTTCCTTGTCCCTAGCATCTTATTTGTTGCTTGACAAACAGTAAATTTTCCTAATGTATTAATAAGATATCTGATGCACTGAATTATAGATTATTAGGTGAACATGGTATATTCAAAAAAATTATAGATTATTACATAAACATGATGTATCTAGTTATTAACTGGTTCAAGTTTTACTGTTTCTACAGAGATTAATGGATAACAAATAGCACCCTATTCTCGGAAACCCTTAAATGTACCATATTGTTAGCTATTGTTAATGATTCTATATTCCATTAGTTTTATTAACTTAATTTCTTCCCCAAACTTGTTATTTCCAAATTACTGATATTATACACTTCCATCCAAGTTTTGCTTTGTACTGGTTTTCCTTAATTATCACTAGCAATATTCTACATGTCTCTTGGAGACACCACCTGCAAACAACCTCTGCCCAATAGCTGTACTACACAATGAAGTATATTTTGTTTTAAAACGAATTAAGATAAAATCACTGATAAATTATTATTTTATAAAATTCTTATAGGTAGTTTGATAATTGATTGAATAAATATAGGTACAGATAGGAAACAAAAAATATAAATTAACCAAAACTGTGAACCAAACTTTCCACCTTTACCAAAATAATCTTTTTTTGTTTTGACAACCCTCAAATCTTTCCTACACCAATATGTCAGTGCCATAACATATCCTTGGTATTATTCCTTCTTATGTTTTATTACTACATAAAAATGTGTATGATCAAAATAACCTATTTAATGTAACTATCTTATCTCTAAACAGAAATCTATTAAGGGCTTTGCTGTTGTAAAATGATTCTCCATGATGTTTAGAAAGGCATGGTAAAGCCTTGTCAGATTCCTTACATGCTGTCAGAGGCATTGGAGCCAGGGGTGTTACACTTTTACATATTTGACTTATATAGCAACTTTAAATTATATTATTATATTCATTTTGTGGGGAAGCATGCCCCCAGACCCTCCTAGATTGAGCTGCCTTCAGCAGCACAAGAACTGCTTTTAGCAGTTCCTTATACTTTCAATTTCTCATTGTAAAATCTGCTTGTCCAGCCAAGCACCCTCACTTTGCAACTCCTTCCTACACCATGGCATACTGTTCAGGTGGGAACCTAGCTACTGTTTATGTAAGCTATTATGGCTAAATTCCTACCCCAGGACAATTGATGGTAAACAGAAAGATCAATGTAGCAGAAGCAATGATTATGCATAAAGTACACCTACTGATACGCTAAGTGTACCAGCAATTTTTCAGCACTAATGATAATTTTTTTTTCATCATCCATATCCTAAAAGCATCACTGGAACACATGAAATTCACTGACTTTTCCCATTTATTTTTTCTGTGAAATGGAATTTTCTGGGTACTTCCTGGGCTGGGAATATAAAATATAAAATTCACTGATTTTTTTCTGGTTTTCTTCACCTGTAAGAACCATGTTAAAAGTTAAGATTAACACAAAAATATTTCAGTCTAGCAAGTGCAATGTTAAGAAAATCAACTCACCAAATGGAAGCTTAGCAATAATGGGGTTAGTGCCCTCTAGTGGTGCACTCTGTCCATTCTCATTCACTGCCATTACTCGGAATAGATACTCGCCTCCTTCCACTAAACCTTGGACAGTGAATGTTGTTTCCTGAGAAAACATGATCATTCTAAGATATTACCACCATTCATGACATTGAAGATAAATTATAAGACACATATACACACACAAGAAATCAAGGTATTTAATTTATAATGTAGCTTGTAAAACAGATAAATTTCTTAATGTCTTTAATTATATCACCTATATTACTATTGAATTATGATATTACTTTATGCACATAACTTTGGAGAATCAAGTTTAAACTTGAGAAAGACAAGAAGTTTACACTAATATGAATTTTTAATCCTAGTTTCTTATTATTGAGCTTGGAAAGTTTTTAAATAAAAATAATTCAATTTTATAAAACAGCCATTTGTTTGAATGATTTATTTTACTCATCAAGTCAAGCAGGGCTTGAAATTAGCAGAGGCTAATTAGCAAAATGTGGGTTCTAGAGTCCTGCATTTTGATAATTGGTAGTTGATAATTCAGGCATGATTAAGAATACTTAAGCAAAACATTTACTAATTTGTTTGTTTGCTTTATTTTAATGCAAAGTTACACAATGTGCTTCCTGCTCAGTGTAGATAATCAAACCTCAGGTTTTAGCATTTTAAGTCCTCAAACTTATGGTTGACCAACTGAATAACAATGTTTATGGGAAAAATCACACTGTGATTATCTACCTATAAGGCTTTTCTAGTATTTTGTTGACATCACCCTCATACAATTTTTGGTGGTTTGAAACAGCAAGAAAGCTACCATGCTCAAGGAATGTGTCTAGATATTTTGTTCCATTTTATCAATGTGGCTGATACTTTGAAAGTAGTTAGCAAAACTTACCAGCGTTTCTTTCAAGCATTGTTAAGTACAAAACTACTGTAGATTTTAAACAAATATTTTATCAAGCATCTACAAATACACTAACTATTATTTTTCTCTGGAACATATAGCAGTCAAAAGGGTGAGTGGCTTACTTATAGAAATATACTTTTGCACATTTAAAAATTCTAAACATTTCATCTCGTGTTTAAACTTACTTATTAGAAATATGTGCTGAAAATGCACAGATTTCAACAAACCATACCAAAACAATAAATTTAAAGTTCTAAAGACAATTACTAATGTGTAGTTTAAAGTACAAATTAAAAACAAAACAAATTTGACAGCAAATGATAATTAAAGTGTAATTAACAAATAAAGTAATCAAACATAAAACTCAAAAGCACTTACCCTACAGTAGCTGGAAGCAATGACCCATTGTGTATGGCTTGTTTCCCGTCTCTCAACGATGTAGTGTGTGACCTTACAACCACCATCATAAGCAGGTGGCTGCCAAGTGACTTTGGCCGTGTGTTTAGTGATGTCAGATACATCTAATGGTCCCTGTGGTGGTCCCGGTATGCCTATAAAAATAAAATACTTATCATACAGTTTTCATGTGCATCATAACTGAAATCTTATTTTGTTTGTAAACAACAAAGTGAAATACTGTTTAACTTTTGTAAGAGGAGTTTTTGTCTCTAAACATAATTTTTACAACTAATCAAAAAACGTTAAAGATATTAAATACATGTTGTTCTTTACTTAAAGTACAAATTATTTTGATGAATCACTCAAACTCACTTTCATATTTCAAAAGTCTAGTGTTTCTAAATCGAACATGTTATAAACTTATCAAATATTTACCTGATACATAAAGATTGAGTGAAGCATCAGCTGATCCACTCTCATTCTTTATGATCACTTTATATTTGCCTTCATCACTTTTCCGCACTTCTCGTAAAAAGATAATGACATAATCATCAAAGACAGTGACTTTCAGGTGATCATCTTCTTGGACTTCAAGTCCATCTTTGAACAAAGCCACATCATAAGGACCTGATCCAGCAATAAATATTTTGATTTTCCCATTGTCATGTTCAGGGAAATAAACCTCAGAAGGACAGCGGTCAATTCTTGGAGGTGCTGGAAATCAGAATGAAATAAAATGTGTAATTACAAGTGTTCCTATAACTTATACAAATATTATGTCTAGTCAAAAATCAGTGTGAATTCGAGCAGTTTAAAATATTATTCACTGCATTAATTCATTTACTGAATAAAAAATTAACTTTCAAAAATATACTATTGTAGCATAAATACAGTATCACCAAATGTAAATATCAGATATTATATTTTGACATGGTTGCAGTTTCTAAAAATCCTAATATTTAAGAATATCAAGTTCAATAATGTCCATACTTATTTTAACTGGAACTGAGAATAAAATTTAAAAATGAAAAATTTAAATCAATTTTTAAATAATTACAAACTACATTCAGCAGTCATTTACAAAAAATCAAAGACAAACAGTTTATATTTCTCTCTTCCTAGAGTTTGATAATTTAATTATGTTAAATCTTAAAGTGTATCAACCAGATCTAAGAATACTGTTGAGCTTTATTAGCTGAATAATTTGAGAGCATGACAGACTTTCCAAGCTTCTTATTTTCAGTGGTAGCCTGACCTGTAATAATCAATCTTGCAGTACATCTGTCAGATCCAAGAGCATTGTGAACTTCACAGGTGTATTCTCCTTCATCAGTATCCAAGGTTTCACCAATGAAAAGCTGATAAATACCAGCATCATCATCATAGGCTTTAATTCGGCCACCAGGGTGAAATTCAATTCCATTTTTGAACCTTATTCAAATGAAAGTTGATTGATGTTAGAACTTCGTTATTACTGCTGTATGCACATACATTTAATATAGAATACTCTTTTGTAAAAAATCTATATATATTTTACTTTTAAGAAATATATATTCAGGAAGTTGGAACATTTATTTCTAGTAGTTTTAAAAACAAAATAAATATCACAATTTTTTCTTAGGAAATTTGTAACATAGTCATAGAAAAAAATATCCAATTTTCTTTACTAAAAAAACTGTACCATAGATGTTCATAACATTTTCACAAACAAAAACAACTGCCTGAAGACAACATACACAGTTTTTATCAAAAAACAAGTATGCCCTTTAATTTTATTACTACATAATGACAGAAGTGTTGGCAATTCTTATATCCATACTATAACTGTTCTTTTTGAATATAGACTTGTAGTTAGTATACCCTATGGTTCTTTGCTGCTATTAGAAGTGGAACAGCAAAAATGTGCAACTATGAAATAATGTTTTCCTAGTTCTATTGCACATTTATGATGCATATTTGTGAAATTTAAAACCAAGTTTATTTCTATAGCTTTATAACCAAACACACTGCAATAGCTACCATCTGCTTGTCTGTATTATACTTGTAAGATAATTTCACAATGACTACAAATACTTACCATCTAACAAGAGGTAGTGGCTTTCCAACAGCCTCACATTCTAAAGTGACAGATTTATGTGGGTTAGCTGTTTTGTTGTAGAGTCTTCTGACAAATTCAGGTTTGACTCCATCTGTAAACAAGTCACATCCATGAAATATGTTCACAAGTACTGAGAAGTCATTACAAATGGAATTCTTTTTCATCAAATACAATGTTTATCTCCATCTGGTATTTAAACTACAAAACTACATGATGGCTACTGTAAAGCAAATAATAATTTTTTGACTCTGTTTTTCCAAAGATTTGTTAGTCAGCAGTCTGCTCACAGTTTACTTTTAACAGAGATTCTGCCTTGATATGACTACATCAGGAACAAGATGTGCAAAAACCTTGAACTGAAATAACTTGTCCAAAACAAATTCTGTTTAAAAGAAGCTACAAACTTTCGATTAATCAGCTTTAATTTGTCACAGAAATGTGTTGTTATACCTTATTTCTGAAACAAAGAAAACAGAAAATATTCTTTGATAGTTCAGATGTTGCTAGTAAAACATTCAACATGTTTCTTAAGAGATTTCATAACTAATTAATTATGGCATATCTTATACTTCCTTACAACAATGAAACTATTAAATTTAAAAGTTTCATTTCACTAAAAATGTTCTGAAAGACCAAATGATTATTAGTGACTTGTCATTCAGACTGATGAAGAGCAAGAAAGATATATTTAACAAAAAATAAAATAATATTCTCAACAGATTTTAAGGTAATTCAACAATATAATTATTCAATAATAAAAGAAGATTTATGGGAGGTTTTCTAAAACATAGATAGAAATTTGTCTAAATAACAGTTTCATTTTTTATTACCTGCAATCTCTCTAACTTTGATAGGACCAGATGTTGTCACTGGTTCACTTCTTCCAGCAGAGTTAACTGCAATGACTCGGAACTCATATTCACTGCCTTCCGACAGATTCATAACAGTGTACTCACAGTCCACAACATTGTAGTCATTAGCTTTTAACCAGAAGGAACTACCTCCCTCTCGTCTCTCTACTATGTAACCTGATAATAAACAGAATATTTGAGATGTTCAGTAAAACTGAATAATAGATAAAGAGGATATGGAACAACAAAAGATAAATGACAAAGCTGTATTTATAATTTATTATATGTTTTTGATCTTGTCACCTGCACTAATAGTTCATACATTGACAAATATGTATGCAATCTAATCTAAAGAAGATGAAGTTGTGTTTATAATTTGTTCCATATTTCTGGTCTCATGTTTTGTCAACTGCATTAACAGTTCATATATTCATAAATATATGTGTAATCTTATAAAACATGAAACTCTAATATTTTTTTAAGAACTTTTCAACAAAAATATTTCATAAATTACATAGCTTGGTAACTTGTTTCCAATATTAACAATAAATCATGCATGACATAAGACTGTAATATTGTCAAGTAAAAAAGAAAGAGAATGCATCCAGATGTAAAACTTACAAATAAATAATGGATTATTTAAAATCAAATACCTAAGATTTTTTTTTTCAAATAGGCATAATAGATACATATCTGACTACCAGAAAGTTTACCTGTTATCTTGGTTCCACCATCAGATTTGGGTTTCTCCCACTTCAGCTCCACATAGCTCCTCCCTACCTTTGCCACTTTAAGATCTTGTGGAGGAGATGGAGGAGCTGCAATTGAAAGTTGTATAATAATAATAATAATGTTTGAGGAGAGTGTTTAACAATAACCTAAAACTTTGTTTTTTCTAACAAGATGTGTAAGTCAATTTTGCAATTCACTTTTCAGTTTTATAAGTTCTAACTTTTAGAAATTAAATTTAGCCTTTTAAGTTTTAAGCTTTACCTAAAATGAAAAGAAACAGCATGTCGTTTACTTACTAAATTTTGGTCTCAGTTTGATGGTTGAGGTAGGAAGACTAGGATCACTGAAACCAGCTGCATTTTTGGCCTTTACTCTGAACTCATATTCATGGTTCTCAATTAAGTCACGGACTGAAAAAAAGTACATATATATATATTTAGCAAAACTTTTCAGTTGCATAGCAAATACAGTATAACTTTGCACAAAAATACAACTTGTATGAAGTTTTGTTTGCATTTTAATATTGTTTCACTGTTATTAATATGACAAACACTACAAAAAAGCTTCAAATTATTTTACAATATATATATATATATATTTATGCATTAACACAAACAATTGTAAACTATGACATTAAAGACTACAAAATTTATTCAATTATATTTTAAAGAGATTTTTTTGCTACAAACAACTATTTTTGTCTATGCTAAGTTTTCACTTCATTAGTTTGGAATACAAACTTTATAGTACAATACTGGAAAATACATTTATGAGTGAATAAATACTTCAATTTTCCATGGACAAACATTTCATGCTAAGTTCTTACAAAATTATAAAAATTTAATAGATTAATTATCATATTGATTCACCTCGCAAAGCTGTGTCTTTCACAAGCATATCATTTGCTCGAATCCATTTTCCATCCAAAGGATCCCTATATTCAACGATGTAACCTTGAATCTTGGATCCACCATCGTTGGCTGGTCTCTCCCACACCAAATTAACACTACGAGCATCATAATCCACAACAGTTGGTGCACCTGGTGGACTTGGGGCATCTGATTCCAAGAAAATTAAGATATTATGACTAATGTTTTCTGAAATACACTTACAAACTACTTTTATTAATACATCTAAAAGTCTTAAACACGCTTTGAATTTTCTCAAGGAACCATGTCTGTTCAGATGTAACAGCACATGTTAAGCATCAATTGCAAAGATCTCAGATTGCCACTGGCCATAAGCCAACAGTATGAGGAATAGAGATTTTAAGGAAAGGTGATACAGGGAGCACAAAGACAAATGTTCAAACAGAAAATGAGTGAGAGTGTGAAGAACAACATTGGCATTCTAATCTGAGAGAGACACAGGGTGGGGAGGATTGGAAAGGGAAAATGAAAGAAAAAACAAAGACAACAAAGGAAATTGGAAGACAGAGGCAAACCCGCTAAATCTGAACATGCAAGATAATACAGCTTGATAGCCAACAATCAAAGAAACTGATAGTATCTTATCGAAGAACCAAGTGAAAAATGTAGTCAACTGTGGTAGGGAAAGATGTGAAGGATGATATCCCCGGCAGAGTAACCAACAGCGGAAAGTATACCATTTATGCTGATAATCTACGACACAGATGAGAAATAAATGAGGCAACATGCCTGTAAAATCCAGATTATCTGGTGAGGGACCAGACAAAAGCCATGCATGCAGCCGGAGGGTGGGAATGGATGGATGATGCATGCCTGATTGAGGTTGACAAAAGAGCAAGGGAGATAATGATAAAGGAAGGATGGGTGACACCAAAAGCCTGTGTGCAAGTGGAAACCACAACTGAGGAGGCCAAAATGGAGCCATGAAGAGCACACAACATGGAGTGGCCTGAATCAGTGAAAGGACCCTGGGAAGAAGAGAAATTGGAGGATATGCATACAGGTAATAGAAATCTGACTAATTAATTCTACAAAGGGTGAAGGAGATCTGGGTAAATCTCCCGATATCACTCGTTACTGGGAAGCGTATTCAAGGGGGGCGAATAGGTTGTGCAAATTCTCATCCTCCCTGTCAGACACCCTAGGAGCAGGCATGGCAGGATATTCCTCATGTAGTGGTTACGGTTGTAAAAACTTGGGCATTTCTAATTGATTGAGAAACCCGCAGCAGCAAAACAGCTGTAGTAGTTATAAGTATCTGAAACTGCAAGTGCATAGTAACAATTCCAAACTTGAAACAAAAACAAAAAATATGAAAAGTAAAAAAACTTAGAAAAAGCAACCTTTCACAATTCAAAAACTCGAAAAATTAAAGAAATATTAAAGAAAAACAAAGTCTCTAGGATATAGAAAAAAATCGACAAGCTTGCGAGCAAAAACAAGCAAGTCTGTATAGTACTACTGCCAATCAAGAAGTGATTAACGAGTGCAAATGTGGAGAGGACGCTGGTTACGATAGTAGTTGTGTCACACTTCTATTGGTGGAGAGCTGCTGCATAATCGTTTACATGTGGATATGCAGAAGTGAGAGGTGGAAGGCTAGTGGCGAGCGTTGAAAATATTCGCCGGTAGAGGGCAGTACTAATCGAGAAAAGCTATTTTTTAGGAGAAGGTAAGATATCGTATCAAAAAAGTTATTTTACTGGTATAGTAAATATATAAGATTTGAAGATGTGTTTAGTTACTATTGATACGTAGTATCTCATAAAATTAAATAATTTTTAGGCAATATTATTTCAAATATCAACAATACAAACTATGAATCTATACAAAGCCCTTACCAAAAGGAAACTTGGCAATAACAAGAGAGTCTGTGTCCAGAGCAGGACCTACTCCATATTGGTTCTCTGCACTCACACGGAAGTTGTACTTTTTCTTTGGTTCTAGACCCATCACATCATAGTGACATCCTCTTACAAAGCTACTCAGCTTGGTCCAAACCTAAATAAAGAACAGGTGAGACCATTCATTTTCAAACTCTTTACAACTATGTGGTCTCGACCAAGTGTATTTTAAGAATTTTAACTTATTATAAAGACTATCACTTACAATTACCAACTCTAAAAGATAACATTTAAAAATATATGTTAAAAATGGTGAATTGTTTGTTTGTAGTTAAGTACAAAGCTTCACAATGGGTTATCTACACTGTGCTCACCATGGGTATTGAAACCTAGTTTTTAGCATTACAAGCCTTGAGACTTTCCACTGTGCCACTTTTTGGTAAAAATGGTGTAAGTTTTTTAACTAGTACTCTATTTTTTCTTTTAGGTATAAACACTGCCACCCAGTGACTCAGCACAAAGAAATTCAACATTTGAAAATATGAAATACTATTGGACCCATACAAATGTTATGATCATCTCAGTACTCAGCATATTACTGTTGTTTAACCTTAAAGTTAAAATTATATTTTAGTTAATACAATGATCATGATTACCCTAAATAATTATTGAATGTATATACATGTATATATATGATTGAAAGCTCTTTCTCTTGATCAAAAAAATAATAATGTTATTCTCTTTGATGAAAATAAAGCTCTTGCTTTATTAATGTGACTTCCAGTTTTTGGGTGTCTCACATTGTCATATAGGCCTCCATGCAAAACCTTCAAACCTAACAGCATGACAAACAGTAGGCATGATAAAATTATTTTTTGATTTTGTAATTATTGGGAAACCTACACTGTATTTTGTTTTAAATGTTTGTTTACTGTGATATAAACTAGCTTTCTTTCTTAGAGTTTGTTTGTTGTTAAGTACAAACTTACACAATGGGCTATCTGTGCTCTGCCTACTGCAGGTATACCTGAATATTAGCATTATAAGCCATCAGACTTATTGATGGGCCACCAAGAGGCTCTTAGAGTTGGGGGTGTACTCAAGTAGCTGTCCATTATTAATGTGACTTTTTACAATAAAAATCAGACCAGCTTGGTGGGATTTTGAATAATGACTGTATTGGAAATAGTTGGCTACATTATGAGAAAAACTACTGGCTGTTTTAATAAAACTGGATTATGTTTAAAAAATGTAGGGAACCGTTTTTTTTTTTCAAAGTATTTATATTTACATAATGTCTATAAAAATGAACTGCAAGAAATTTAATTATAATAAATTAAAAATAAAAGTATTTATTCAAAAACTTAACTTTTAATGAATAATTAATTAATAAAATCACACTTCCATACTTTTAGCATTAATATTGTAATTAGCATATTTAAATTGTATTGGCTGGCATTCCTGTCAGTGGTAAGCTTGCGGCTTATAAAACTGAAATTCAGGGTTTTATCCCCACAATAGGTACAGCACAGATAGCTTTTTATTTAAAAACATACATACTATCTGTTTAATACAATATGATTTATGAACATATCAATAATTTATTACTCATAGATATTTTAAGAAATGTTATAACAAAAATTGTACCAATAAAATATTTACTCCCTGTATGGAAAGACAGATGTTTACTGTAAAAAAATGTTTTCACCTAAGTTGTTCTGAATATTGAAAACTATAGTTTTATTCTCTTTATTTCCTAACATTTTTAACCTACTAGTAATAAAACACGACTAATCTTATAGGTGCATATAATGCATAAGCAATTATTTCTGTCTGTCTGTGTATCCATTCATCCATCTCTCTACATCCATACTCCAACTAACCTTGATTGTACTTTCTTGTTTCTCAACAACATAATTCAATATGGGGCTTCCACCATCATCCAGTGGTGGTTTCCATGACAAGGAGCATGTTTCAGGTGTGACATCAGTTACTTCAAGTGGTCCCTCTGGACGACCAGGCTTATCTGAAAGAGACAAAAAGGATGACATTTCAAAGTACTGAAAAAAAAAATTAAAATGTGATTGAAATCATACTTTTGTCTCATTATATAGCTAAAGTTTGGTTTCTTGTTCTAAAATATTGAAAATAAAACAATAGTTAAAAATGATTAAATATACATGTGACACTTAAATTGTTTGTTGTTAAGCTACACAATAGACTATCCATGCTGTGCCCACTAAGAGTATCAAAACCCGGATGACACATAAAATAATGAAGAAAAAAAGAATCTTTAGAAGATTTCAGGAAGCATCACAATTTTCTAGTTATTAGCTAAATGTTCCATCAGGTTTGTACTGTAAATTTAGGACTTAAATATCACTAATTACTCAGACATACTTTTTTGTGCTGAAATAAACAACTGTAGAAATCTATGTCTTGTAAATTTTCTCCTCATCCACAAAAACAAAACTTTTGTTACAAAAATCATTTTCCTAAAATTATGTTTTTTGAGAGATTTCCATTGGGTATATGAACTTTTGATGACAACTGTATCTCTACACATATGAAGAATTGGTTACTATGTAAAAGTTCTTTGACATATCTTTTCTCTAAAGTATAACTACAAGACTCAAAATATTATATACATCAACAGTTCTGTACACAAGTTCTTCAACATATTTTTAAAACAAAGAATATTAAAAAATGTAAAATATTTATGATCACATCAGTAATTTGCTTATTCTGTATATACAAGGTCTTCAATATGGCTTTTCTATTAAAGATAACAAAGCTTAAAATGTTGCTATCCAGATCAACAGTTTGCTTGTAGGGAATACTTACCAACAACCAATACTTTACAAGATGCACTGTCTGTGCCCTCACTATTCGTCAGTTGGAGGGTGTATTTGCCAGAATCCTCTCTCTTGGCATATTTATTTAAAAGGACAGTGAAAGCTACATTCACTTCAGAATAGATACGATCATCACGCTTCACTGGCTTTCCATTCTGCAATAAAAAGAAGGAAATTACTATTAGAGAACCTAGTAGTTTTGTATTTTATTCTCCAGTGTTTTACGTAATGAAGAAGTTCATGCAAGTTTCAAATAATAAACAAAAATTTATTATAATGTGCTTTAAATATAGTATAGAAAGTCTAGGTTTAAAACCATATGGTTAGACTCACAATAGTCCATGAAGCATGTGGTACTGGGCTTCCACTAAATGGAACACGAAGTGTAAACTCCTCTCCAGCTTGGACAACAATATCTCGCATAGAGAAACTAGCATCAATTTTGGGAGCACCTTTGAAAGAACATAACACAAGGGTGAGTGTCACTTTGTATTCATATCTATGCCCACACAAAATATAAAACAAGCCAGATATTTGAATAAAACCTTGAAAATAATTAATTTTTATCTTTAAATATCTGTTAAAAGAGCTTTTACCAATGTATGAGTCACCTCTACACTTACCAGTAAACTAGGTTTGTACTGATGCATTTTCAAATACTTGAAGCAGTATAGAAAATAACAAAATCCCTCTAAAATAAAGATTTGTAACTTCTGAGTTGTACAATAATGTTTTTAGTTATAGTTTTTTCTGTTAACACAGCACATGTACTTAACTTACTTGGTGGTGGTCTGGCAACAATAGCCTGGGAGGCAGAGCTGTAGGGTCCAGGGCCAGCATTGTTTACAGCACATACTCTGAACTCATATTCATTATTCTCCTTGAGACCGCCAACCCTGTATGTCAAGTCTGGGATGACTGCCATAGATGCTCGAGTCCACTGATCCTCACCAGCTTTGCGTTTTTCCAAGATGTAACCTATAATGTTACTACCACCATCGTCTCGAGGTCTTGTCCATGACAAAGTGATGGAATCTTCAGTGGTTTCAACAGCTTCAGGTACTCCGGGAGCACCAGGGGCATCTGAAAGAATATAATGGTTTATTACACATATTCACCATATGGGAGTTTGGTCTCTGTGTTTTTCAATTTTAATTTAGTCTTGAACCTCCTCAAGAGGTTAGGGCTGATCCAGTAGCCAAATCATTAGTTACTCCCCCCCCCCCTCCCAATCCATTTCTGGAAGTGTTGTTTACTTACTACACATGACTTTTACTGATAAGAAATTTGGTCATATTTAGTTAGAAATGTATTTACTTACCAAATGGAAGTTTGGCCATGATTGGTTCACTAGTAGTGGCTGGCTCACTCACACCATACTGGTTTTCAGCTACTACCCTGAAGTTATACCTGTGTCCTAGTACCAAGCCACGGACACGACAGGCTGTTTGGGTAATATAGCTGCTGACTCTGGTCCAGGCTGAAGCCCCAACCTCAAGTTTCTCCACCACATAGTTGGTTACAGGGGACCCACCATCATCTCGGGGAGGCAGCCACTTCAGAGTTAGAGACTCGCCTTCTACATCCTGGCCCTTCAGTCCTTCTGGTGGACTTGGCCGATCTAAGAGCAGTCAAAAAATATATAGAAAATCCTAGTCAAATATTACAATATAATAAGTTACATCCAAAATCAAATTAGAAATGCACTAATAAAAGACAGATAATTATAATGTTACAAGATATATGGTTATATTTCATAATACCCACTTAAGTATGAAATGCTTATTTGCTTCTTAGTTAGTTGTATCCTTTCATGACAATAGAAACATACCTAATACAGTAACCTTGCAGTACACAGTGTCAAAACCAGACTTGTTCTTTAGATGAAGCTTAAAATGCCCAGTGTCTGATCTTTGGGCATCTGTCACAGCCAGTAAAGCATAATCTTCTCCCACCTGAAGTGAACGAGTTATGAGATGAAAAGAAAATTAAATATATATATATATACATATATATCAAAAGTTTGATGATATAAATTTTTAACTGATTAATTTAAGTGTTTAATAATGCTTGGAGATGGCTTTGATGGATAATGAAGAAAAACTTTAATATAAGTTTAACATAACAGCAAATGTACAACGTTTCAACAAGGTTTTGATGATACTAATTATATCGTGTTTGAATACTTATACATAGAGAAATGATTTATAGTTTAGTTCTATTGACTTGCATTAATAAATGACTTCGAAATTCTAAGGAAAACACAGTGGTTTTAATTTTGTAATAATTGGACACCTGGAAAACTTTAACTAGTTAGAAACACTTTAACAATTGTTAGTTTTAGTTCAAGAGTTATGGCAAATGGCTACAGTTACAAACTGTATGTCATATAAATATAAATCCATTTCTGGTTAACAGCTAAATATAATTTGTTTGTTACTGCATTTGAGGAATACTAGATATTGAAAATTAAGCACTAATAGCATGCACATTCTTTAAAATAAAAAATAAAGGGTTTTATACACATAAAGAATTAGTTATGATTCTTTTATACCTATACATATATACAAAGCGTGGTCACAAGTAAATAGACACCACCTTTTCCAAAAAAATTAAATTTTTCAGTCATATTCACATGAATT